GGCGGGGCGACCCCGACGAAGCGAGTGCGACGGGGCGGCGGAGCTGGATGGGGGGTGACAAGCAGGGGGAGACCGAGCCCTCCTCCGGCGGACACCCGGCTTCTTGTGGCCAGGGCTGGGGGTGCCCGCGCGCAGGCACCGGCCTCGGAGGGACGCGGGGTGGGGTACAAACGCGCGCAGCGTTGGGAGTACGAGGCAGCGTGGCAGTCCTGGCACCAGGTGTTTCTGCACGCTCCTGGGCTCGCTTCCTGTCAGCCGCACGGCGCATCACGCATGACGGTTTTATTCCAAACCTCACACAGGCGAGAGCTTTGATTTGGCCACTTTTCTGCTTTCTTAACCAAATAACCCCCTCCCCACCTTCTAGTTTAATGCCCACCCCTGCTCCTGCCTGCACTTCGCTCGTCAGCGAGCACCGACACCGGGCCACAGGGGTTACAATGACTGATTGTGCGTTTTCCGTCAGCAGCCTAGAGGCAGCTTTTTGGTCTGCCGTGCTGGGACTCGGCGGCTCGGCTTTGCCACAGCGAGGAGACCCTCTTCGCCATGCTTCCTTGAAGGCAGAGGAATGCCATCATCCTACGCCACCAGCCCTATTGTGACAGGACGCTGCAATCTGAAAACCGATTAATACATTTTGGGAGCAGGTTCATTGTCTAGCCTAGCTGTTGAAGACCCTGAATTTTGGTTTGTTTTTTACATCAAACGTTAGATTTTGAAGACACACAAAATACAACTAGGACATTTGCGCTCTCTTATGTGGGAGGGGAAGAATAGCCCTAAAATGAACCAAAAGATTCAAATCCTTGAACTTCTTTTCCCCCCATTCCTTCTTGTCTTGTTTAAATCCTCCTTGTTGCTGTGCTCCAACCTGCAGTCTTTGGTCACTACCACGGGTGAGCTGGAAATCCACAAAAATAAATTTGTGCTGCTGTTGCAATTAGGTAGTACAAAAAGCACCAGAATGAGATGATCAGTCTGTTAGAGGCACACAGAGGCTTACCCGTGTATCCTCCTGCAAGCCTTTCATCGTAGCAAAGAAAATGACAGAGTACTTCTCTACAGCTGCTGGGACAAGTTTGTCATTGAAAAAAGAACGTGAGTTTTCAGGGTCATTTGGGGCAAAAGCAACTCCATTTCTTTGGCTGGAGAATCACTCTTGCAATGGTTACAGGAGTTACCCGCCAAGTGGCGTTCCCCTCCCACCTGTAAAGGAAGAGATTTGCCACGCAGTCCTATTGCCATGCAATCCCAGGTCCCACTCAAGTCAGATGTAGCTCTTTGCCACAAGCCATACTCCCAAAGGATCAATCCCTAAAAGACTAGTTAACAGTAATGGGAACAACACGCAGTGACAGCCTTGCACTATAATTGTCCCAGGTGCAAATCCGTTACTGAATCCAAGACTCTTCTCTAACGCACTGTAATACTGCAAAATGGTCTCATTTACAATGTAAGTAGCATCCGCTGACTGAGCAAAGGCTTATTACTCCAGCCGTGCACCATCCGGACTGCTTTTATTGCAGAAAAAGAGTATGCATTTTAAACCTGTTTATTCACACAGAACTGAAAGAACCTCAACAAATTATAGTTTAAATACAAATAAATATCAAAGATGGCTGTTAAAGGAAAACACAGCTGTCTGCCTGATTCCAATTCAGGGGCTACTTTTTTCAAGTCAACTTCAAAAAACCAGAATTGACAGTATTGTTTTCAATAATGGAAGTACAAGTCCTTGGAGGATTGCTAAGGTCAGCCCATGCCTTGTACACGTGACAAAACAAGAACAAGGACTCTGTTTGCAAGGGAGGTTAATAGATGCAGTGCTAATCCTGGAGGCAGTCACTTTTTGGAAGTACCTGGCTGATGGGGGGCAAGGGTGGGGGAAATCAACTGAAGACTGATCCATTTTAGGTTTCAAAAAAACCGCCTCTGTCAGACAAGTGCAAGCTCTCGACAGTTCAGAGGAATAAAGGACATTCTATGCAGCACTGCAGGTATATGCCATACTGCAAGCAATGTGCTGTTATATAGTTAAAATTGGGAAATGTTGGTTTTAGAAAGAAATCTTGAACAATTTAAAGATTCCTTTCTTGCCTGGTTTAGAAGCTGTAGTAGGTACTAGTGTTGGTAAACTGCTTGTAGCTCATTAGCAAGGTAAAATATTACACTTATTTAAAAAGAAAAAAGAAAGTGCCAAGTGAGAGTGTAGACACATTGGCAATAGAGGGGAAAAACCCATTTACTGTCCTGGAGCGAGCATGTGGTGCCCTACAAATCCTGCTTACACGTGTATATACCATAGCACTGTATACAGAAAGGCACCAAGCATTTGCAGTTTTATGCACCCTTTTTCCAAGTCTTTCAACACGGGAGAGAATATGCAGCGAGGAGGATGTGCTGTGGGCTGAGCAAATGGAATGAAGCACTAAGAAGCACTAGGTCATTAGAGATGTAAATTAAATGCCTTCTAAAGCAAAGATAATCCCTAGAATTCAGTAGCACCATTACACCACATACTCCTGCCACTCAAGTATGCCCAGACATACTCAAGCATCTTTGCTAACCAATCACAAGTGCAGTTGGGGCTGCGTGGGAGGTAATGTGTCTGACAGATGTCTTGGGGGCTACAGTCTCACGCTGTCACATCTGGTTTATGGACTGATTGCTAAAAGGGATTATATTTATGCATACATGATATGCCGCTGTATTAACTTTAAACAAAATAATGTTACCCCAGGAACTTCTCATGTCCAAACGTGGGATTTCAGGACCCACGTTCTACAGCGCTGCCACTTTCAGCGTACAGAATGAAATCCACTGGTGTACAGCAGCTTGATCATTCCAATTCACTGAGAAATGCAGATGTCTACCACTGTTCTGAAGCATTAGCACTTAAAAATGCCTTGCTCTCCTGTGGTTACATCTACCTTTAAAGTTAAGAAGTCAAGATGCAAAATGTTGCTTCCTTGCATATAAATTCTGCATCAATAGTTGTTAAAAAGGTTGCAAAATTCTTTTAAAATTAGTTTTAAGACAAAAAAATTTTCTATGTAAGCTACTGATGGCTTCAATTAAAAAAAAAAAAAAAAAAAAGGAAAACAAAAAACTAAGCATTTCCCCCTCCCTGCTTAAAATAAGTTTGAGCAAAGCAGCATACTCCTTTCGATTTGCTCTTAAGTGCAAGATCCAGAATTTAATACAGCTTTCCTTACATTTGCTTTCCTATCAGCCCACTGGCCAAAGTTTCTGGTTTTGCAAATGAATATAGACAAGCAACGTGGATTGTCTAAGCATTAGTCACAAAATTTGGATGAAACCTTAGCTTTTTGGGACGGCATTCCATTCTGTACATACACTGGCAATAAGGATCAGTTATTGGAACACTTAAAATGTTATATTATAAAACACCAGACCCTATACAGTGATACTGTGCTCAGTTGTCAGTATCCTCCCCACTCTACAAAGTACAAGAGCACTGAAAGATTCCCCATTTTCCTGCTACTGTGATCCATTCACAACCATCATCTTCTGGATTTCCAAGCCGTTCTGGAGTAAGGAGTAGTCCTTTTTTTATCTGGTGGTTTGAAGTAAGAATAAGCCGGTGCTGCTGGAAATTCTGCATCTGGATTCTCTGCCATCATTTTCAGCTTGGCTTCAATTGCTTTTATTTTTGCACTGACACTGGACAGGGGAGGAAAGTAAGGTAGAGATGAGAATGACTCTGGTGAAAGGGAGCCTTCACCCCTCTTCCCCCCCCCCCCCAAAGGGACA